TCTCGGCGCTCACCTGCCGACTCGGCTTCCCGCAGCCTGCGCTTCAGCTCCAGCTCGGGTTCCGGGGCAGTAGATACAAGAGCCTCCCTCACAGCTGCGCTCCACAGCGCAACCGAACTGTGGGCCCCGCCCTCTCGGCGTCCCGACCAACAGAGGGGCGGTGCCGCAGTGCCGCTGGGTTTCCATTGGACAAGGGCGCCGGAGAGGGCGGGGCCTCGGGTAGATGGTCGTCGGCAGGGATCGCTTTCCGCCCCGTCTCCTCCCCTTGAGCTTGTCCGGCCGAGACCTCTCCGAGGCTGCGATCTTGTCGGTCTCAACTGGGGCTCATCTCTGTCCACTCCTCCGTCCACCCCAGGTGCCCCGGAAGGTTCCGCGGGGCGAAAGGAAGGCCGCCTCCCTCTTCTCGAAGGCGCCATGACAGTTTTTGTCCGACTAAAAGACAAAAGGAGCCAAAGAAGTAGCTTCAGTTCTAAGCTTAAAAAATTACTGAACACATTAACACTGAAAATTAATAGTTGACTTTTCGTGATTGCATAGCACTGATATTTGCCAAAACTTTGTCAGAGATTTTCACAGATGTTTATCTCATTTGCTCCTCATAAGAAATTGAAATTATCATTCAATGATAGTGGACAACTGCAAAATACTGAATCAGAGACATTAAGCTATTTACCGAAAGTTGATAAGAGTCAAATCCAAAACAGTAAGACTCATCAAATAAGACTTCTTGAAAAATGTTTGGGGGGAAAAGATTCTGGGAGACCCCGTTGATCTGCTAAAACCAATCACAAAGCCTGAAGGATAGCAGTTCACTCTGCCCTGAAACACGTATTAGGGAGGGAGGAGGACAAACCCATCATCAGAACTTGGGAATGTCATAATCACCACATTTCATTGTCCTTACAGGGAATTTCTCAGTCTTAAATAGAGAAAAAAAGGAATCTGGCAAAAGCTTCTCGTTTTCTCTTCACCTCAAAATACTTACTTTAAAAAACCAGTCTTTCATCCTTCCTTAATTCTTTTACCATTGAAAGAGAAGGCTCTAACACTGTTAGACATCTAGTGAAAGTTATGGACCTTGTTTTGTATTTACCCACCAAAGTTAGCATACAATTTCAGGTAGTTGAGATTATAAATCTTTGTTCTAATCTCAAAGAAAAGATGTTTCTCCTCTCCTGTTTAACCTTTACTTTCTGTGAGCTCCAAAGCAATTGGAACACCTGGCCCATGGGTCAACACTCATTAGATATCAGTTGATATTATTCTTATAGTTTCCCATTCCATTCCCTCTGGGCCATAGCATTATCAACCTTTCCCAGCGGGAGGTTGGCCAGCTGGCACCACCCACAGATATGGCTGCAGTGGGTGTCATAGCGACTGGTCATTCTGGTCTAGAATGATGTTCCGGTCGCTGGCTTTTTATATATAGAGATTTTATTGATTTCAGACAGGAAGGGAGAGGGAGAGAGAGAAACATCAATTATGAGAGAGAATCATTGATAGGCTGCCTCCTGCATGCCCCTTACTGAGGATCTAGCATCCTGAGCATGTGCCCTTGACCGGAATTGAACCTGGGACCTTTCAGTCCGCAGGCTGATGCTCTATCCACTGAGCCAAACCAGTTAAGGATTAATTTTTCTATATTGTTGAAAGTATTACAGATATCCCCCGTTTCCCCCCATTGATCCCCTCCTCCTGCCAGAGGATATTTTCTCCATTGCTTTTTTTTTTAATCTTTAAATTCTTTATTAGTTAAGGAATTACAAATGTGTCATCATCCCCCCCCCTAACCCCCATCCTCCTCCCCAAGACTTATATTTTTGATATTTATTTTATATATTTAAATGCCATTTAACAAAGAAAAATCAACCAAAAAAATGAGTTCGCGTGTCACCTCTGTCACACGTGTCCCATTGCTTTTCAGAGAGTGAAAGGGAGGGTGGGAGGGGGAGGAGAGAGAGAGAGAGAGATAGAAACATCACGTGAGAGAGAGACATTGACTGGTTGCCTCCCCAAACAAACGCACCTCAGGGGAGGGTAGAGAAACCGAAACCCAGTTAGTGCCCTTGACCAGAAATCGAACCTGAGACCCTTCTGTGCACAGCCGACATTTAAACCACTTAGCCATACCAGCCAGGACACCAGCTTTTTCTTTTATGAGTTGCATCTTTGGTGTTGTATCTAAAACCTTCTCTGCCCTAGCCAGTTTGGATCAGTGCATAGAGTGTTGGCTTAAGGACTAAAGGGTTCGATTCTGGTCAAGGGCATGTACCTTGGTTGCAGGCTCCTCTTCAGCCCAGGCCCTGGTCGGGGCGCATGAAGGAGGCAACCAATATTTCTGTCTTTCCCTCTCTCTCCCACTCTCTAAAAATTAATGGAAAAATATCCTCACGCCCTAGCCGGTTTGGCTCAGTGGATAGAGCGTCGGCCTGCAGACTGAAAGGTCCCAGGTTCGATTCCGGTCAAGGGCATGTACCTTGGTTGCGGGCATATCCCCAGTAGGAGATGTGCAGGAGGCAGCTGATCGATGTTTCTAACTCTCTATCTCTCTCCCTTTCTCTCTGTAAAAAATCAATAAAATATATTAAATAAAGATTTCCATTGCAAGTCAGTAATCCACCACAAGAACCAATTTATTGGGAATAAAAGCCAGATGGCTGGGGACAGGGTGAAAGACTTCTTATATACCTATTTTTACCTTTTTTTAAAAAAATATATTTTATTGATTTTTTACAGAGAGGAAGGGAGAGAGATAGAGAGTTAGAAACATCGATGAGAGAGAAACATCGATCAGCCGCCTCCTGCACATCTCCCACTGGGGATGTGCCCGCAACCCAGGTACATGCCCTTGACCGGAATCGAACCTGGGACCTTTCAGTCCGCAGGCTGACGCTCTATCCACTGAGCCAAACCGGTTTCGGCAACCTTTTGAATAATTTATTAAATGATTGTAAAGAAAGGCAATGCCTTAAGACCACCCATGTTTGTCTAATTCTAAGCTTCCCAATTGACCTGCTGACCTCATCTTCCAATGGACTCTAGCTTTGCATTGTGACATCTATAAATGTATACATTTACTAAAAATCACTATAAGAATTCACAGTGAGTGAATCTTAATAGTGTGAAAATTATTCCTCAATAAAACTGTCCAGAATCTTTCAAGATTTTGGTTTTCATAGATCAAGACAATTGGCAAATCTGTTGGGTTTCTGCTCTAAGCTTTTCTTCCTCAATACGAAATTCGTGCCTCTAATGTGATCATCCCTCTAGGGATGTGATGTGGATCCTTTCTTGGAAAAGAGCCTCTTTCCAAAATGAAGGCATAATCAAAGGAAACGCTCCTTTGCCTCAAGCTTGGCATTTACATTTCTACAGAGCCTCAAACTAAGAGAATCCTAGATTTCTTGATAATGGTGAATTATCTGAGGTACTTAAAACATATACATTCCCAGGATCTTCCCTGGATTAACTGGGGGGTGGGGGTGGGGCGGATAAGGGGTCTTGAGTATCTGTATGTCTCAGAATCTTCCAAGGTGACTCTGATGCAAATAGCCTGGTTTATCACTGTCTAGGAATGATTCCTTGTGATATCACCTCATAAGTTAGGTCTCTGAGCTTCATTATTTAAGTTATGAAATGGGAACATTATTTAGCTCTATACCTCTGTCATGTCATAAGAAATTGAGTCAACTTCTAAGATAAACATAATAGGGCCATAGGGGAATAAAATAATAAAATAACAAACAGTCCACCTAAATTAAGAATTCACCTGAAATTATTTGATTTCCACAATTGCATTCAATTATGTTAAAATCAGATTTATTATGTATTTTGTTCTGTGTTTTACTGGCATAAAGGTAATACATGTCTTATATCACAGGGATGTTGTGCAATTAAAATAATTATCAGGTCATTCTATAGCTTTTCCTGGGCTAAAAACCTTAATATAAACCTTTTCTGTTTGATTTCATGTAGTTAGTTTACTTTTGTTGTAGTAATAAAGATAACTTTCCCAAATCTAAAGTTATTTCCTGTAAAAACAGATCAGTTTGTAAAGAAAGGCTTAGGGATCCTTTCTAGCACTAGTGGTCTAAGACTCCCTTATTTCACATCTCACAGCTGTACTTCAAGGCTTGAATAAGAGAGCAAAATTCAATTTAATTAAACAAATACTTGTTTAATGCCAAATATGTGCCAGGCACCAGGCTAAGCAGACAGTAGGGCAACAAATGAATAAGACAAAGTTCCTGTCCTCAAAGAGTTTATCTTTATTTGGGAAGATATCTTTTAAACAAAAAAAGTTACAATACCCAACAAAACAAAACAAAAAACAGACAAGAAAAGAAAAATAACAAAACAAAAAAAGCTTTTTAAAAAGTTACAAATACTTACAAGGGCAACAACAGAAGTACATATAAAGTTCCATAGACTGAATAGAGAAGGACATGATTGACTTTTTAGATGAAAGCTCCCTGGAAAGATGCAGTAGGTTGAATGGCCCCCAAAGATACCCACATCCTGATCTCTGGAATTTTCAAATGCTACCTCATATTGAAAAAGGAACTTAGCATATGATTAAGGTTTTGAGATGGGGAGGTTTGCCTGGCTTATCAGGATAGGCCCTAAATGTAATCACAAGTGTTCATAAAAGAGAGAGGCAGAAGGAGATTTGACTACAGAAGAGAAATGCAACCACAAAAGCAAGAGGCTGGAGTGATGCCAAGTAATGCAGGCAGAGGCAGTCTCCTGAAGCTAAAAAGGCAAGGAAATACGGCATCTTCCTAGCCCCTAGAAGGAACCAGGACTGCCGACACTGTAACTTTAAACCAGTGATGCTGATTTCAGCCATCTGACCTCCAGAACTGTGAGAGAATAAATTTGTGATGTTTTAACCACCAAGTTTCTGGCAATTTGTTACAATAGCCTTTAGGAAACTAATTCATAAGGTTTCTCAGACAAGACTGATGCCTGTCTGACCTTGGTTTTAAAGAACAGAAATTGAATAAAATTCAACTAGCAGTAAAGGGAGGAAAGAATAGTCCAGAGAAGATCCAACTGTCCTTTTTTCTGACTCACCAGTCTTGGAAGAAAGGAAATTGGACCATAAATCCTATGATTTTCCACTGTAAGTTATGTCACT